TAAAATAGTTAGAATTTGATTTGAGTATCATAATATGATACAAAATGTATGAAATAATACCTGTATAAGATTGTAAGCTAGGTATCTACCTATTTTATAATAAATAAAAATAATATCGTAATCGAGTTCACGCATTATAATCTTTTTCGAGATTTTAGTTTTCGGATTGCAACAATTGCTATTCATAGTGAGCACATTCTTAATCTGTTGAGTCTTAAAACCTTAAAATATATCTGAAAATATAAACCTAGTTAGTCAGTGTAGACGCTTTATGTGCGGTGGATTGTTTAAAATTAACAATATGTGCATAATAATATTAATTTTTTTAACTGAAATCTCGTGTACTGCTTGTTTTGTTTACTCGGTTGTAACAAAAATTATCAAATATAGAAGAGTTGATATATTGAAGATAAATCAACGTCAAACCGTCTGAATGCGTGTGTGTATATTATGTAGCTCATCGGCGGTAGAATCTTTACAAGATGATTTTATTGTAAAAACCTACAGGAAATCGGATTTTTTTTTATGAAATGCGGGTAGTTACACTTACCGCACGCGTATACATAATATATTTACTTAACAAAAACCAAGTTTTTTTTTACTTAAAAAATAAATCTGACTCTACTAATATGGTCTTTATTGTGTGTGTTTACTATATTTACTTTACAACGACAACACCGACAACAAAAGACGAATAAAATCGAAAAGGGCAAAGACATTGGATAAAACATGTTTTGTATTTTATATTTCGCAGACTGCAGACTACATATTATTACTATTATTATTATTATTATTATTATTATTATTATTATTATTGTATGGAAACTTGATTAAAGGGCGTAGTCGATAAATTGTATACGGAAACACCTAATTCAGAAAATGGAACTGTTATGTTTCCTGCAAATGTTTTACAGTATACACTATACATATTATTATAATACGTTTAGTTATACGAATTATTTGGTGAATATCGATGCATAATATAATAAATGTATGCATTTCATTAGTAATATTATATATTATTACGTTTTTCGAGATCAAATTATGTAAGTTCAAACATTTTAAAAAACCCATTCGCCTTTTTTTAATTAACCACCCGTATATTTTTTTCGTGTAAACCAGTACTATCGATTATACCGAATGCATCGTGGATTTCTGATTACTTTTTAGTTAGGTACACTATTTTCAAACTAAAATCGTACCCAATATGGGTATTTAAGATTGTATTGTTTTATTTGTCACTATCGCCTACTCGAGTGGATTTAATACATACATTTTACACCTAACCTAACTTTAATCTTAACGCCGGAGGGTAAAATATAATTACACGGAATAAAATGAAAATGTCAGTATGTGATATAGTGATGTTATTTTCAATCACTATGAATTTTTTTTTTTTTTATCGCAATTTGACATTTAGGTATGCACAATACTATGAGATATTTAACGTTCGACTTAGAGAATATCTATTCAATTAGTGTTTTGTTTATAGACGTTATCATACAACAATTTATACTCGAGCTTAATATACATTGCGACAATGTGGGATTATGTATTAGGAATAGGCATATAAAAAACGGTATGTCGGGGACCGAGGGTTAGCTGCGATCACTTTGAAGCAAGATAATATGGTACGTTGCCGGTTCGTGATATTAAACCTGAAAGCAATAATAATTCATATCATTCGTTAAAATATACAGGACTCTTCAAAGTACCGACAAATAATGGTTAGACTTTCGTCTGCGCTCTGCAAAAGTATTTGCCATATAAAACTTTTTGTTTACTCTTTCAGTCGAAAAAAAGTGATCACAGCGCACTATATAAATCATCATTGTGGAAACCAATACGTACGCATGCTTCAATTTGCTCAGAGGTTAAAATGCAAAATTCAAAGTTAGTTTTCCATACAGTACACGCAAACGATGTAAAACAAAAACTACGAAATCCGTTGGACTTACTACTAGTTAAAAGGTTTCATAATTTAAATTAAACGGCACGTTCCAGTTTTTTTTTTATCATCAGCGTTGCACTCGAGTACAAAAGGCACACGTCAAATATATTTTCCGGATACAAATTAAATACTATGCTAATTCGTTGATACATTATAAACGATTTGCAAAATTGATTCCGCTATAACTGTTTCTCTTAATATTATCCCAGGCGAAAAAATAAAACAACTAGACTTCGTGAAACTATATCCACGCCAAACGGTGGATAGAAGAAATTGCGTTGGATTCGAAATGTATGCTATGGTCTATAACTGTAAGAAGTTAGCATTTTCGGCACGCAATATATTATTATAGATTCTATGACTTGAAAATATCGATCTAGAAACCTCAAAACGCCCGAATCAATTACCAGCTACGTCGCTGCTATGATTTCTTATATCACCGCGTGAATTAGAAAGCCCCAAACGTCTGTTGGGTAAATTACATTGTGCGTATTTTCGTAGAAGGTAATGCACACAACTATAAACTATAATAATATGTTCGTGCGGTAAACATTAGATATTAATTTTTCACGGAAACCCGTTCTAGGTAAAACGGTCGGGCACAAATTGCAGGCGAGTATTTTACGCGGGTAAATGACAATATTTTACACCGTGCAAAGTTTTTGCATTCATAAAAGAGGTCCCTGGGGTAACCGAAATGCGGTGGTATCCTAAGGTCTGAGCGTGCAGCAGCCAAATTATACAGCTTTTGCCCGACGTCGGTGATAATATATTATAGATTGTACAGTATTGTTCGTCTAGTCGATGAAATTTACTCCTTCAACTCGAAAACGGACGTTCACTATACGATCGGACCGGGGTGGGTTCGAGGACCAAAAACCGTCTCCTGGTTCGTCACCATCGAATAAATTAATATGCCATTTCCAACAAATCATACTGTAGGCAGTATACTTAGGAATTATAAATTCCGATTGAATGCGCGTAACGCTCATTGAACATACCTAGGTAAAATCCTACGCGAATCGATAATAATTTAACTTTGACCTTAAAATTCAAGACTTTGAAATTCTGGCTTTCGCGTGATATTCGTTTGTGATGTATAACGAAAACAACGCCAAACGGTTAACGTGTTCGATACACCGTAGTATGGCCAGACGAACTCAGATTGAAAACAAAAAAAAAAGAAACCAAGCGCGTATTATACTTTACCAGACAAGTTGCACGTCGGTTTCGGGTGTATTATCATAGGTAGTGAAACGAACACGGGGTTTGGGGGGGGGGGGGATAATACAAAACGGCGATGTGGATCGGTATGTTATTATTATTATAATACGCTTGTAAATAGTAAAGCTTAGAAAAAACTCGCATGTTTTTACGTCAAAAATGAAATCTCTCACAAGTTATTTATGGTACACGCCGTTAGTCGCGGTCGTAAATATTAAACTTTCAAAACTCCAATAAGTGCGACGATTTACGAGTGTGAAACTTTAATGGAGCAAAACGAAAATACTAATAACAATAATAATAATAATAATAATAAATTTAAAAAAAAACAATTCTCTCGAACAATACACCTATGCACTGATCTCGTCATAATCGTGCGTGACCGTACATTGCATGGGCGCATTATGCGTATACCTAGTACCACACTGTACAATTTTAGAACAGGGCTGATGGACAAATTTGGGGGGGGGTGGTTATAATCGTCACTGGTGACGTGACGGGCCAACCGTCTGGAAACAAAAAAAACTCGAGAATTAATCCAGCGGGATTATTACACTCGGCCGGTGGACTTTGGTATATCGTTTTATTTTCATAAATAATTATTTTGTTCTGTTGTCACGCCGTCATATCTACATAATAATTGTATGATACTTAATTATAACTACAGCGGTGTCTTGTCGCGATGGCACGAATAACGGAATTATAATAAATAGCTGCAGCTTCTATATAATACTTCTGATAACTTGACACCAACTTATTAACGGGTTGAAATATTTAAAATAATATAATCAACTGCACCAATGCTGTCGAGAACTTAAACAAACAGCGATAGAGGTTTTTTAACCGGGGATACGCTTCGGGTGAATGATGATAGGTCGCTGGTAACACTTCTTGGTTCCATCGTCCTATCTAAACCTAATCGACACGTCTTATACCTTCAAAAATGTAATGCAGTAGGTACGAAGTTTTTAATAAAGTTACCGAAATATAAACGATTGTTGTATTATTTCTGATCTCGGATTAGCTGTATAAAATGAAAAATCCATTACGGTCTGCACAGAAATGAGACCCGGTTTTTCGTTTCCTGAAATAAAGTGGTGATTTTTATACTCATTTCCTTTACCAGAACGCCTTCCAACACCTATGTATTAGCGAAACTCTAGAGCTATACTTACTTAGACTTGCGTGACTCGACAATCGCGCCTCAAATGGAACAGAATCATATCGCCTCAAAAAAAAAAAACAGTTTTTTCTCGAAAAGAATTCAAAAGCCATTGGTACCCAAAAATAGTCGTTTCCATTTGTTACTATAAAGTGTTCTGTTGTCCGCTGCTATACAATGTTAATTTCAATTTATAAAAATATATTAGTTAATAATGTCGGAGCCACCTGAAATAACAAACAAAAATAGAACTTCCCTTAAACTGACGTCAATGTCGGTCATTGCTAGGCAGTTGTGTACTCATCTCGTAACGTCCATCATAAAACGTCCAAGTCGAAAAAATGTTCCAATATGCGATTGCTCATCGGCTTATATTTATTCTGTGATCGGAATGATCCGGTGCGCTTCGTTGACATATTTTTATTTTACTTGTTTCTGAACGCCTGTGTACCTGCATCACTGATCGTCACGGGCGCCCATTGGGAGGGGCAATACAGGGCACTTGCCCCGCCCCCTGGAAAAAAATATTATGGACTTGTAGCTCAATAAATATTCCCACAATATTACCTTATAACAGAAATTTTTTATTTTCACCCCCCTTCCCCTAAAATGTTACCTATGGGCGCCCATGCTGATTGTTATTTTGTGTTTGCCTGTTCGCAGTGCGACGAGAGCTGAGCCGGAACAAGAGGACAATGTGGATACTGTCGTCGATCGCGGTGGTGTTCGCGCTCAGCTGGCTACCACTGACACTGTTCACGTTGCTCGTCGAGTTCCAGCCGCACCTGATCGACTCCACAGACGCACTGTACAAGGCGTTCGCGGTCGTCCACATGATGGCCATGTCGACCACTTGCACCAACCCTCTGCTGTACGGTTGGCTCAACACCAACTTCCGGCGGGACATATCCGGTATATGCCGGCAGATGTGGTACTGCTGCGGTGACCAGAAACCGCCGCCCAGGCGGAGGCGATACCCGTCCGTGGCCACCGACTACCGCGGCCCGAACGACCGGCGGTTGGGGCTCGGGTCCGAAGCGGCTGGCGGATGCGGCGGCGGGGGCGGCGGCGGAGGCTTTGGCGGGGGTGGCGGTAGTCGTCGGCATCATATGCACCACGACCCCGAGACCACTGGCATGTCGATGGTGGTCAAGAGCGACCGGCGGTTCAGTACCAGTTACCTGACCACGCTGACCACGGTCACGTCCCGGTCGCAACCGGGTTCCAGCATGGGCCGCGTCGAGAACGTCTAGAGACAGTATGATTATAATCATCGATGATTTACTATACATATATTAATAGTATAATAACGATAGTGATGTCGTCTTGCAGTGAACTTCAGCGAGGCGTGCATATTATATTGTTATTTGGGGGAAAAAACATTGGGACGGCATTATGATGTTTTAATAGCCATAATATTATTGTGTTGGACTAACAACGACAAACTTAAGCGTTGATAGCACTGACGGTAACTTGCTGTAATACTCGTAGCGGTTACTCAAGCATAATAAATGTATACATAAATTTGTCTAAGTGCCGACGAAATGGTGCTAACAGGTGTTTTATTTTTCTACTATTACAATAATAATAATATGTAATTATTAATCTTATAATTCGTCAGGAAACAAAAAATATTGAGTAGAAGCCCAGGCCCACGACATATTTTTGTGACTGTGTGCAAAGCCGCATTTCAGGGCAAACATTGCAAATATTAGGTCGACGCAAATATATTCTATGTATATTATATACAGAGTGATTCACCAAGAATACTCACCTCTTTTTTACTTAAATAATGTATTTATTTAAATTCTGACATTTTTTTCCAATACTTAATTCATTTTACATACCGAGGTACAAAAATACCATATTTTAAAATTCTTAGATTTTGTATACTATTATTAAACAGTACCCTGTAGCGATACAAACTTTTGTTAACAAGAACAACGCATTTTACTGTTAATTATTCAATGGATGATTTTTATTTGCAAATTTTGATGTATCTAAATTGAAATTCGAACTACTAGTTTCCAAGTAATTAAAACTTGTGCACTAAGGATAAAAATATAAGATAATAGTTTTAATGTTATGAAAATTGTAGTAATTAATACTAATAAATAAACGTTTTATAATTTGTAAAAAAATATCTGAGTAGATATAGTAAGTACGACATTAAATACATTATATCTATTTTATATTTGTGTAAAACCATTTTTAAGGACTATTATCCCTAGTATAAACATTTTAATAACTCAGAAACTACTAGTACCAATTTCTATTTAGAATTTAGATGCATACAATTTTTCAAAAAAATTATCTATATACAATATTTATCGTAAAAAAGTGAAAACGAAAAGTTCTCAAAAACAGAAACTTGTATCGCCATGGGACACTACTAATATGATCCCCAAAAATCTATGCATTTAAAACTACGGTCTTTAGCTATACTAAGAAATGAAGGATTTGAATAAAATATTCATTATTACAGTTAAAAAAGAGTAGGGAACATGTTTGATCAATCATACTGTAAGAGTACAACCCAAGGGATACCGCGAGAATAGACATTCTCAAAATTCGACAGTTTAGAAAACTCTTTTGAAGTAATAGTTTTTTTTTCGCGCTGTCAAGTTATTGAATTACTTTAAAAAATTATATTTTACACACTTACTGTATATATTGTATTAATCTGTAGTAGTGTAATTTATATTATGTGTAAAATAAAAACGACATACTTTCAATAACTTTACATCGTAAAAATAACACCTTTAAAATTTATATTCTAAAACCATTTTCCGCTGTTCAAAAAAAGTACTTTTTTTTCGTGAGTTTATTCAGTATTCGTCATGTCTAAATTATTAACCATATTTAAATTTAAATTAAGAATTCGAAAGGTTTTTTTCAAAATAATATTATTATATCAGTATCGACAACTATATTATCATCTGGAGTTGAAGTTCTTTAAAGATAATATTATGAAGTTCTAGAAAAACATAACGTAATATTATATTTCTTGGTACAAATAGTAATGATTTACAACGAATTTCTAGTAAAACGAAATTGCTTCAATTTTTGATTTATTTTTTTAGAAGATATAATTTTTTTGACAAAAATTTATTGATTTCACCAGTCAATCATTTTTTTACAGTAATATTATTGAAATTGAAAAGTAATAATTTACGTTGTCGCTTAACTATTATGAAACTTAAAAATATATATAGACTTGTGGAATTCATCGGTTTTAAATTTAAATTATAATGTATAATAATAAACATTATCTGAAAAATGTATGCTTAATATTATATCCTATTGGAGAATTAAAATGTCGAAATTATATTCCTGCAATTTTAACGAAGAGCAAGAAAAGAGGTGTTTTTAAGTGTCAAAACATAATTCATAAATATGACGTGGGCTTGGAAAAGTTACTTTACTAAAATAAACTAAGAACCGAGTTCAAAAAGATAATTTATGTTTAACTAATGTTTAATGAAATTATCAATATTGATCGGAGACGGTAAGGCTACAATATAGTAAAACGAGTTAGTATCATCAAGTAGTACTTATATCGTATACTTTTAAATGCATTTACCATACTATAGACATTTCTTGCAGGTACTGTTAGTTTTGTGTAAATCAACATAATACTGTAAAATAAACCTCTAAATGTAAATTACATTATTCCATTAAATGTTAATAAAAAAAATCACTTGTGTACTAAATTATTAAAATCGATTTTAAACGAAATTTATACATGATAATATTATATTATATATCGGTGTTATGTTTTATTTACATATTTTTTATCGACCATCATTATGATATTATTATATCGTTTTAAATATTGCATTAATTAATTATTTCGAAAGTGATCAAACAAAATACTTGAGTTAGGTTAAACGCGTGTCCGACATGAACACGTTTCAAATATTGCGTGTACCTCCCGAAGTCTTACTGACTAAGTCCTACGTAACTTTTGACTGATAATAATAGCGAGTTTGTGCGCCGCGTGTAGACGGTTTTGTTTTAAAAACCCTTCAGACGCATGTCTTATCATACAATTCTGTAATTAGTAATTTATAACGTACGAAAAACGATACGGTTTAAGTATGGCTAGACGGCACGCCGCCGCGTCGTAGAATAATCATTAACATAACATTATAATCAATGAAACTGCAATGTAAAATTATGTAAGTATACTTTAAGACGACACGTGTGTATTATATTATATTACTATTAATTTATTTTTTAACGTTTTGTTACACGACAAATGTTTATACGAACGGTAGGTATAACTGAATAACAAGATTTAATAATAGTATATTGCACAGCTCTGTTTGGATTAGAGCGCAATAACATATTATTATATTGGATTTAAGGGGCAAATGGACAATCTTGGGACCACACTACAATCATGTTTATATTTAAACGTATTTTGATTTGTATAAAATTAATTTACTCGACTTGTCTTCGATATTGTTAGCATCCCGATCCCCCGTAAACGTTCGCACTAGCAAAATATGACGTGCGAGCGAAATTGTTGAGATGTTGAGACGAAATATCTTACTCCAAAACAACGCGTGTACTCAGATGGCAGACCGATCGTGCACGGATCGCATTCAGTGGCGGTCAAATGATTTTGTCAATAGGTGGGAGGGGGATACGGCTGATTGCTCAAACATTGAAAAGAAGTCCGTGGGGGTTAGGGTGTATCCCCCTCATCCCAACGCCAGTTCGATCGCCGCTGATCACATCCTTATATATTATAATACACTTAAATATGCTCCATAGCTCCATTCGAGTTGCTCACTCTACCGATGAAGTCTGCTCGCTTTCGATAGTTTCCCCTCCCGTAGGTACTACGAATTGCCGACTATGAGAGCATAGCACTTAGACACCACAACGCGTACCACGTGGAGTGACCTTTATTATCGCATCACGGTAAATGTGATAGTAGTCAAATTCGAAAGCGGGCAAACTCAACTCGAATATAATGTAATACATATATATATATATATATAGGTAATATAATATAAAGTTATGGTGTGAGCAATTCATGAATCGACGTTACCAACAGCTGATGTATGTTTATAGCAAAATCAGTGACTGTGTACTGCAGACACGTGTAAATTGGATCCACTGTTAAAATATTTTTTAAGAAACAATAACATCAGGATTTTTTTCTGCCAAAATCATGTTACCGATGTCTTGAGAACCATTCAAACTTTATAGTGACCTCGAAATAGTTCTTTTGAAAACAAATCTTACCAAAACACTATCGTATGATATTATGCTATATATTTATGCGATACGGTAAATGCGTGATTCCGTCTTCATTTTAATACTGTCAAATGCACAATTAAGATATCTTTAAGAGTAAAAATAAACTTTTATACAACTGTTTGAAACAATTTTGATAAAGTCTAGTTTTGTCTTCTCAAATGATCACACTACAAACACAAAATTGAAACGGTTTGGTGTTTTTTTTTTTTTTTATGGTTTTTTTTTTAATTTTAACTCACGCGAATCCATTTGAAACTTTCTTTCGCAAAAAAAAGTGTTGCGTGTTTGTGATTTAAAATATTTTGTCGAATTCCATGATGGATAAACGACATTTATCATAGTTGTTTGCTGTTCTACCTGCGGCTGGAAATCATCCAAATTTCAAATATTTAGCCGAAATTCGCTACACTACGTAGTGTCCATAGCTGTAATTAATTGGAAAGTTTTAAATATTTTAGCACTATTCTGATTGGGTGAATTGATGGGGCGAAATATATAAAACAAAAGAACAGCGAGTGATAGGATAATTTTTCACATACCCAACAACGCCGACGCTATGTTTTGTGTTAATAGATTTATCACCAAAATTAATCTCGTAAGCGGCATATTATACAATTGTTCGTCCAACCGACGAACAGCATAATACAATATAGTACATAAATTCATTACATTATCATCCAACTCACGTGTTGCAACTTGTGATTATTATTGAAAATTCATTTTAAAAGGACACGCCTTTGTCAATAATAACACGTGAACTTGAATGTTAATTTACAGTGAGGGGTGAGGGTATGGCGGTGACCAGTGTTATCCGCAGACCATTGTGTCCATACTAATTTAAATTCACATACGACCCCTAACATGTACGTACCTACATCATTAAACAAATTTGAGCTGCACTCCGAGTATGGATTTTTTTGTTCGCTGATTTATACAACCTCCGGAGGTGAATAATATTTCGAAATTCATCGGGGTTGAATTATTATTATTTTTTGACGCATTCCAATGATCGGCATCTGGTTCAATTTTTTTTTTTTTGGCAGAAATTAAAATCTTATAGGAACACGTGTCCGCATCCAGGTACTCCTTATTTGGCTTTGATCGAATCGATATGATTGTAAAAGTAAGATGATTCTCAAACACAGTTCTCATCGATTTTCATCAATATCAATACAAATAATATAGTTGAAAACGGTATATTCTATCTTGAATAACATACACACTAGGTACCTAGTATCATACCTAACCTGAAATATTAATCCAAATAAGCTCTATTTTACTTACGTTTTTGCCTTCGGAATGTTTATGATAACTTACTGTAAGGGAAAACCGTGTTAATTTGATATTTGCACATAAACATCTATTAGAAAGTAAAAGCCGCGTCAAACATGTCTGTTTAGATTGCAAAAAATATAAAAATAAAAATAGCGACATGAGTATATTTTATATTATATTAATATATTGTATAATTGTTATTATGAAAAATGGGTTATACTTTTTTTTCCGCGTAATTTATTTTAGATCACTCTACCTCCATTGTAATGTTCAATGTTCACATTACGATAAAATATTTTAAAATAATGTATTATAATATTAATAATAATTACCCAAGTATTAAAAACATTTCGAGAATTGTCTCGAGGTTTATACAAACGCAATATATAAAAATGTAATTCCGTGTCTAATATATTGCAATAAATAAAAAAAACTGTAAAAATGTATAAAGTTAATATTATTATTATTATTATCATCCAATTATAGTTACGAGTCTTGATTAATTAGTGATATTAGTGGCAGGAGAACAGTTGGTAATATTATATATAATTATTGATTTTTTGAGTGTAGGGTTCTTTCGGTTTGTCTAAGAATAACACCCATTATAATAATACGTATGACTGCATAATATAGAAAACATTTATTTTTAAAAATAAGATTAGAATAATGATGACGGCAATCGATGAATAAAATGATTTGTACTTTTTGTAGTTTCTGACTTATTATTGTATGAGCATATTATTATACTTTACTATATTATATTGTAATTTTAAATAAAAATAAACTTTAGTTATTTATTATTGCTATTATTATAATTAATTTATTGTATTAATGTGTTTATGAACAATATATAATAACCTATTTTGTATTAAAGTACTTTATTATCAATATTTTAAAGAAAAGATGGTTTCCAAACAAAATGTTATACATAACACGATTGTAATAAACGACCAAAAGTATAATATAATTGTGATTTTATTTGTTCTGTAGTTGCGTTTGTTTATTGAAAAGATATAATATGATATAATATTTATCGATAATACCTATTTTTATCTTTTTTCCATACAGAAAGTTTAGACCCAGAACCGCAGTCGACAACTATTCATTTAATTTTTCTCTTGAGTCAATACTATTTAAAGCAATTTATTTAGGGCTTGAATAGAAGTGTATAGACCACATGAAATGTTTCAGGTAATATCTACTCTTGGTAAAGCTCTTCTTCAGACGTACTTGTTACATCAATTACCTACTACGAAAACTTATTTTAGAAGCTAAAACTGTACAAATACAAGTCTCCCCAAATGACCCAACTCCAAGTCTCGTGAGTTAGAAGTTATAAATATAAAATTTATAAAATTAAAAAATTAAAAATGATTAATAATGGCTTAACAATTTACGAAAATATCAAGCTCGGTAAGTATCAAAAATTTACAATAATATAAATTTTAACCTGAAAAAATAGCTCTCGTGAAACCCGTAAACTGTGAATAGGTATATTGATCTAAAAGATTGTAATTGAAAATGTTATTATAAACCGAACCTACAAAATTGCAAGTTATGCATTTCGTC